TCCTGAGATAAATTCCAGATGAAGATGGCAGATTAAACTCATAAATTTAATTTTATTCTCTCCCAACAGAGATTTTTTAAAAAGGCATAAACCCACAAGAACAGAGAAATGACAGAAAATTTTGAACACTGGAAATCAGACAGACAAGCGGTAAATTACTTGAGAATGCCGAATCTTAAACTGGCAGTGAGTAAAGTTAAGAACCAACTCAACTAATGTTGCAAAAGACTCAGGTATTATCAGCACCCAGTTCTCCTGAAAATGAGGGTAAAAGAGTGAAAGTAAATAAGAGAACTATTTGAAACCTGTTTAGAAGCAGTTAGATGCCTAGATTCCATTCCTTGATCCTATATCACTGCTCCTTCTCCACACATACACAATACTGAAGGTTTATTCCTTGGAGAGGGTAAAACAGAGGGTCTCTGGACTGGGGGACAGCTGGCATATTTGAAAGTTGAGGCACCCTGAAAAAAAGGTGCTAAGGGCATATATGTACATTGAGTGCTGCTTCCTCTTACAAGCTTCCTCATGGCTGCTTCCCTCATGGGCTCCAGAAACAATAGTGGTCAGTCCTTTACCTTCCAGGCAGGAGACAGGAAAAATCTCTATGGAATCTGACCAATCCAAGAGGAAAAAGACCTAAACAGACTGACATTGAAGGTTCTGAATCAACAGCCCATCTAGTTCTCTCTACAGTGAAAATCTTGGTATGAAAGCTCTGCCCTTAAGCTTACCGTTTCCATCAGCTTTTTAGCTCCGTTTCCTAAATACGAGAAGACAGAAAAGCATTACCAGCTAGCTGAGGAAAGTTTCTAAATGAAAGATTCCAAGAGAAAAATGCAATTTGGTAGAAAAAACATTTTAAAAAATTATCATTAATATCCTCAGAAAGATAGGAAAAAATATGTAATTTATGTAAAAAAGACAGGATGCTTCAAAGTCAATATCCAAAAACAAAAAAGAACTTGGAAACTAAAAAAAAAAAAAAAAGAAAGAAACTATGGTAGAAAAAATAAATACTCAAAATAAGATTTGGAAGTAAAATTAATGAATTCTTCCTGTAAGTACTGCAAAACCAAAACAAAGCAAAAAACAGAAATGGAAAATAAGAGAGAAAAAATAAGAATATCAGAAGACCAGCCCAAAGTCAAGAAATTTCAGACGGAGATTCCAGAAAAGTGGAGGGGAAGAATTCATCACCAAAACAATTCAAGATCACTTCTTAAAACAGAAAAATACAATTTTTTAGAATGAAGAGACTCTGTAAAGTTGTTGAAAATTGATCTACACCAAGGTCCATCATAATATTTCAGAACATTGGGGATTAAGAGGATCCTACAAGCTTTCAGACGGGGAAAAACCAAGTCACAAAAGGAACAGGAATTAGAATGGCTTCAGACTTCATAAAAACAATACTGAAAAAGAACAACGGAGCAATATCTTCTACCTTCTAAGGGAAAATAATTTCTAACTTAGAAATCTATACTTAGCCAAATCGCAAATGAAAGGTAAGGACAGATTAATTGTCAGTGAAGTGTAAGCATAGTCTTAAAACATTTACTCCCATGTATCCTTTCTTAGGAAGCTACTGAAGGATGTACTCCATTAAAATAAGGAAGTGAGCCAAGAAAAAGACACTGCATCTAGGAAACAGGAGATTCAACTCAGGAGAGGAGCAAGCTCCCTTCATTTGATAGTGAAGGGAAATCTCCAGATGAAACTATTTATCAGGCATAAAGAGCAGCTGATGGAAGTAAGAGCAGGTCAGAATTTCAGGGAGAGATTTCTTCAAGAAGATGAAGTTGATAAAATAGCTAATGTAAATAAATGCATTAAGAGGGTATTTAGACAAGTAGGGAAGGATTTGAGGATGACTTAGGAATAAGTACATAGACAGTTAAGCAAATGGTAAAAAACCCCAAATGATTACGAGCTCCAGGGTAAATAAAATATTGGACAGGGAAGGAATTTCAATCATAGTTTATTACATGGCTCACTTCTGAATTACAGACATAGGTATGATAATGAAATTACTGAAAATATAACTAAAATTTTGATTTAACACTACTGGGGCATGGAGAGTGTGCATGTATTTGGGAGCTAGGAGGGAAAAAAGAGCTAGATCCTTACCTTCCATAGTTAATAGATAATGGCTAAAACTGAAAAAAAAAAACCAAAAAACTAGAAATAGCAGTTCAAGCATGTTCTTGGGGTAAATACCAAAACAATCAGCTAAAAGAGTTGAAAGTGATAACTTTATGGATGGAGACAGGAGAAGCAGGGATGTCTTGAGACTCCTGTTTGTCTTAAATATTATAGAGGTAGTTTACTCTTGGACTATATGCATGTATCACTTTGATAAAAAACAAAAATCGTAAAAAAATTGTCCTTAGATCCTGAGTTCAAGAAATTTCTAATCACTCTGGTGAAAACTTTGAGAACCTCTAACATTACTCCCAAATATGAGATGAAACCGTGGATACCGAAACTCAGCTCTTTGCTCTTGGCTTCCTAGACCTCTGGGGCAGTTTCAAGCATGGCTTATATCTGATGTAGCCAACCTCCTCGTGAATGGTAGAAAAGTAAGAATATCCAGGTAACATTAGGCTATAGCAGGGGTAAGGGTAAATAAATTTTGTCATGTTGGGGGATAGAGACAATAGGAAGGTGGTTCCACCATCAACAAGCTTGTTGCCAGAATGTTCATGTTTGAGGCAGAAATACAACAGAAAAAAAAAACCCGCAATGTTAGGTGGGTGGGAAAAGTAAAAATATTAAGGACAGATAAGTTTAGAGCAGATTAATTTATCAGATCATGAAGGAAGAAGTGAAGGGAGATATTATTCTTCATTGGACCAAGAATTAATTTCAAGTGGAAGTTTGTTGCTTTACATAAAACGGGAAATCTGAAGGTACTTCTATATGAGACACTCTGGCAATGTTGTTCATTTGAAAAGGTTGAACTTTATAAGGAGCTGTTTCCTCTTGGACTTTTCTGTTATTTGTAAAGAATTCAGGGTATCTCTAACTTAGTGTCTCATGTCTATTTGGAACTCTGGACACAATTTTCTATAGAAACAATTGTAGGTGGTTGGATCCGCAAGGCCAACCCTCTAATGACTCTTTAATCTCTGGCTGCCACAACAGCACTGAACTAAAACAACGTTTCCACGGAAAAATCCAAATATGCTCTCCTACTGGGCAGCCAGGAATATTTGTGACCACATTTTTGTAATGGAAATTAAAAAGGAGTGATGAGGAGGTGGGATGAGGGATAGAGATGTTCTTTAAGGGCAGGAGGGTGTTGCTATCGGAAAGAATAGATTATAGCAGAGGAAATTTACCTCTCTTCTTTTAATACTTCTTGGTAGAAAAAACTATGGTATCCAGCACCCATTCTGAATTTGATTTGATCTAGTTCCCAGGTGAGAAGAGAATCAAGACACAGTTAGGAGCAGTTCTAGGCAGTAACAGGTTGAAGAAAGAGGGTGAGTGGATCTCCAGAAGGAAGTCAGAAGAAAGGAGAGTTCTTTGGTCACAAGATATTTGGCTCAACAATTAGTTTTACATATATATATGTAAATATATGTTTGTAAATATATATGTATCTATATCTATATATATATATATATACACCTATATCACATCATATCACATATATTGAGTTCACATAAATCAGAAACTGCCTCTACATCATTTTGATATCTCATCAACCTAACAGAAACTTTTATCAATGAATGTTTTGAAATTTCACAACTAATTCGAGAATAACACAGTTTGAGTGGTAAAAATATAAACTCTAAATTAAAATCTTTAATAATTAAGAACTTTTGCCTTGGGGCAGAGGAAGAAACCCAAGAATTGTATATTAATTTAACTTAATGCAGAGAAAAGTAACTATTTAAAGAGCTGACCATTTTCTAAAATTCCAGAACTAATAGTGCACATAATTGAATGCTCATAATAACATAGCAAAGGACGCTCAGTGTATCAAACTAAATTTTAATCAATTATGCATTGCACCTGCATTTTTAATATCCAGATAAAATAACTTACTGCTTTAGTATTTTCCCAAATATTTGTTCGTGGCAGACTGACTTTTGCTATAGTTCACAGACATTTTCAATCATATTTACCAGTTTTTGGCTCATTTTTCATATTGTATTACTGGTCTCTGTAAATAATTGCCCTCCTTCCCTTCTACACTTCCTTTATAGAATATTTCAAATACTTTCCTTGCTGATATTGTGATGTTGCCCGCATTCCATGCCTGGCACAAAGATAATATAAGCAGGGGGATACTTTGTGAACTTACTAAAATGTGGCCAAGCTTGTCCTGGGATCGTCATCCTTTAACTCTGTTACCTCGTGACTCATGCCCAGCCCACAGAGGGAAGCAAGGAATACACAGAGGAAGTGAGCTGTTGGCTTAGTGGAGAGGACTATGGCATTCCCCCACTCACTTCAGGTAAAAGAAGGTAACACTTCCTTCAAACCAACTGAGAGGGCTGCAAGGAAACTACAAGGAGATATTGAGGGTACCTAGAATAAGAGGAGATTGGCATCTCTCTCCTCAGCTAGAGGCTTATTGAAATATAGAAACCCTTATGCCTTCCCTGGGACTGCAGAGGAGTAGAAGGGTGAGAGAGCTTTTGGGAGACAGGACAGGTGCTCCTTGATGTCTGAGGTGTACATGAAAATGGAGACTGGGGCCTACTTCCTACCTGGGGAATTTTGAAGGCAGAACAGCAGGTGGAGCACCCATCATGATAGAGTAAAATGAGCAGGCACCAGGGAGTAGCCTGCCTTTCCATCATCTAGCATGGAAAGGATGGTTTCCATGGCTCAAGAGGATGCTGTGAAAGATAGAAGCCATCTTAAAAGCACCTTGCCCTGAAGAGGCTTTGTCAAGGCACAAGAATACTGTAGTAAGAGGTTGGGATGGGAGGAGACATACCATTAGGGACAGGGATAATTTCAGGAGGTAAGCCCATAATTAGATCGCCTTTGTCTGGGAACTGTGCAGTGTGCAGTGCCTGCAAAACTCCTAAGGAAGCTTCCTGTGAACCTCACCAAAGTGCTAGTATTCGGATGTCTGCCCCAAAGAGGTCACTGATGGCCAGCCAATAGTAACCAAGGAAGAACTAAAATACAGAATAATTTAAGCAAACAAAAAAAATACACTTTTCCTTTCATCTCATCTTCCTCAGCTCAGACCCTGGAAAAGCCAGATGTGGGATGGGAAAGGTGGGGAGGAAAGGGGATGGAACAGGCCAGTCTCCTCTCCCCCACTGCAGCCCTGAGTTGGGGTCCCTGGGGACAGGCTTTGAATTGAATATGAGATGGCATTTTGATTTCGATAGGACCAGACCCCTTTAATCCCTGCATGGGAGTCATCATTAATGAAATGGGCCTTCTTCACATACCTGAAAGAATCTGGAGACTATGGGATCCATCCGAAACAAGGACCAAGAGATGGAGATCCAACAGAGCATATTTAAAAGCAACGGTTAGAGAAACGCAGAGCCATTTCCCACCAAGTTCAAACTATTCAGTAAACTGATTACACCAGGACAGATTGTGCAGTACGGTTATTTTGCTAACTGTTAAAGAGGCTCTTTGGGGATGTTGTGCCCAGCGTATGACGTTAAGGAGTTGGTGGGTTCGTTCCCTGAAGGATCAATGTTGGGGCCTCAGTCTATTGGGAATGACTTATTACCAACACTAAAATGTGCTTTTTTTTTTTTTTTAAAGTCTTTAAATATGATCTTTATCTTTTGCTTCACTCATTCAAACATTTATTAATTGCCTTTGTCCTGCACACACACAAAAGTAACTCTAAGGCAGTTGTCACTGTGCTCAAAGGTAAGGACAAAACCATAGTAATTTATATACCACTTACTATGTGCTAGGCACTTTTCTAAATGCTTTATGTACATTAATCTAATCAAATTAATTTAACCCTAAAAGATAGTTACTGTTATTATCTATATTTTATAGGTAATAAAAACGAGGCACAAAGAGGTTAATTAACTTGCCTGAAGTTACGTAGCCAGTAAGGGTTGAGGCGGGAATTTGAACCCAGCAATTTGGCTGTAGAGTTTATGTTTAATGCTATACTGTTGCTCACAATATAGGATATTTCCTCTAATATAGATTCTAATTGAGAAGATGACTAAGTTTAAAAACAAGATTACAGGGAAAGGATCAACGTGGCCTGTAAACATTGGAGAAAGCTTCAGATTTCACATGTTCCGCTGCCACTGGTGCTCCGACCATGAATGACAGATATATATCTTTAGGACCTGACATGAAAGGGCTCATTAGTCTCATTTCAAAGATTCAGGTCTTTGTCATATCCAGTATAATATGTTCTTTGGTCTTATCACTCAGAGAACATATCCTTTATAATAAAATACATAGCTTAATGGATTTCTTTATTTTTATTTTGGAGCAGGCATCATAATTTCATTTAGACCATAAGTCTTAGGAGATATCCATATCTATATCTATCTATATTTACATCAAATTTTTTGGTGGGTCATTTCGGAGTTATCCTTGATCCCTGAAACAAATCCCTTCTGATTGTTGGAGGAGGTCATTGAGAGGATGTGACGGCCGGTTGACCTTAGAACTGGACCAGGGCAATGGGAGGCCCCTTACCCTCTCCCTGTCCTTGGAATGTATGTTGTTCTGCCTACCGTTCCCGCAGTGGGAGCTGTTTTCAAGGACGCAGCCTTGAGAGAGCAATGTGTTGTTGACACCATCTGGATGGTACACATGACAGAACCCAGTTAAGGCCTCTACATAAACTTTTAGGATTCTGCTGGGCGGGTGCAGAGATCTACCCCCGTCCTGTGGCTGCCCAAGACAAGCCTCATGTAAGTTCCCTTGCTGATTTTTTTTTAATTAATTTTTTTATTGAGGTAACATTGGTTTATAACATTATATAAATTTCAGGTGTACATCATATTTCAACTTCTGTATAGACTACACCCTGTTCGCCATCAAAAGTCAAGTTGCCATCCATCACAGTACAACTGTGCCCCTTTACCCCTTCCACCCCTCCCCCTGTCCCCCTTCCATTCTGATATATTAAAACCTGCCACCGACCAATCTGGAGTGGTCTGCCTATTTCTTTGGTCTCTCTTGTCCTCCATGTACTGTGTACTGGGGCCGGTTTTTGATTTCACCCTGGGAACTCCCGAGGTTTCCAACCAACATTGATGCAGTCCAGGAAAAAATGATGGAAAAGCCTTTAACTCTTTCATGTCCCAACTTGGACTTATTTCTTATGCCAGGGACGATCTTAGCTATGGAAAAATGACACACTCAATAAACAGGGACAACAAATAGAAAGCTGTCGCTTGTTGTTTTTTGGGAATAGTGTTCTCAGGAGAAGCGACAGGGGAGGCTGCTCAATGCTGGCTTGGTGGCTAACACCTCTTACCTTCGTGAGAGGAAACCTTTGTAATGGAGAACTTAGCATTCTGGGTACTGAGAACTCAGCGTTTCTGAGGTGCTAACACTATGTATCCTATCACTTCCAGAAATGGTTTTTGAAAGAAAAGTCGAGGCTGCCAGCTTTTTAGGGAGGCTTATGACAGGGTTTTTAGTTAAATTATTGTGGCTTATGGGCAAAGCACAGAATTGGGAGAGCAGGAGCCTGAGTTCTGAACCTACTTCTGAAAACAATCAGTTTCATGACCCCCGGGAAAGGCAATCAGCTTTTCTGAGCCTTTTATCATTTGTAAAATTAAGAACTTCAAACTAGATATCTAGGATTCTTTCCTGGTCTAACATTTGATGTGTTGCTCTATGAATCAAAGCATAACTAATGGGGAAAGTTTATGATGTTCTAACATGGCACCCTAGGTTAGTGGGTGGATAATAAAATATTTATTTATACCACTCTTTATGAGTAGATACAGTAAAAACCGATGTAGAACCTGCCAGTAGGGCAGGAAGCTAATGATTTCTCTTGCTTTGATCTCTTTTATTACATATTCTTCGTTTTCAGGCTCCTACACTTCAGTGCCCTCCTCAACCTAGTAAAATTCTTTTCCATACTAAGATTTTTACTAAAACTGCAGAAGTTGGCATAAAGCAATTATGGTTTTCCTGGAGTTATGGTTTATGTTAAGGAGCGCAAAATGTCCTGCTATCAGCATGTGTGGACTGTTCTAAAGCAGAACAATCTGTAAAACTAAAGGAAAACAAAACTGACAAAATTGGAAGTGTTCTATTCTCATGGAAAGAGATGCACAAATTGAGGTAGACTGCTATTGCACCTGAGTTCTAAACATCTATTTGTTTTCTCTCTGTGTGATTGAAGGTGCCATCTATATCCTAACCCTTCCAAGGGAAGGATGATGTTGAGAGCTTCCGTGATGAAATAATCAGAAAATTGTCAAATTGTTAAAAAGCAAGTGTCAGGATTGTATCTTTGAGTCTCATGATTCATAATCTGCTTTTGTCTTTGACTGAACTGGGGGGTATATTACTGTACAGGTTTAGAAAAATATTCTATCACAAATATGACCATTTAATTTACTACAAGTTTTTCAAAAGTTTCTTCTGGGTTTTATTCATCCCTAAGGAAAATCCCTTAGAAAGTTTTAAGAATATCCATTGAATCCTTTTGGAATAATTGAAAAGAAAGCAGAAATTCTGTTTACTTTTACCACTGAGAAAAATGGAACTCAAAACAAACTTAACCGTTAAACCCCTTCTTTATTCAAATTTGGCGTATTTGGAAATAGCAACAATAAGCGCCATAAAGTGTTCCTAGAAATAAACAAAATTTATATTTGTTATTCCTAAATATCAGTGTACAATGAAATTTTCAAGTCAATTTTTGAGGGGAAATGTAAAACTTATAATGTATTTACAATCTTAAGTAGCATATTTCTGTTGGATGGTTTATAAGTTATCTATTGATAATGCTTCACTACTAATAAGGCATAAGAAAGATACTTGTACTCAAGGAAAAGTGATAAAAAAATAGTATTTGATCTCAACAACTGGCTTCAATAATCTGCAAAATGGTGATAATAATGATCCCTTCTCTTCCTCATAGTATTGTGTTATATTATTAGTTAATAATAACATTAATATTCATCACCTCATTGTCCCCCAGGAGGGTATCAGGGAAGTCATATTGGCTTACAAGGTCTTAGCTTGATATCCACATTCCCTCACCAGCTCTTCCAAAGTATGCGGTGGTAACGGCTGGGAATTCCCCCCAGGGGGTTGCACACATGTGGGAACTCAATCTGCTATTCTTGTTATCTTCTTTCCTATGAGGCGCTGCCATGAGAACACAGCTCCCCCACTTCTCTGACAAGTGCAGTGACATTCCCACTGCTGTCTTGTTCCCTTCCTCCCAGAAATGGAAAGCCGTCGTCTCTCTCACATTGCGTTTTTTTTTGTGTGAGGAAGATCAGCCCTGTGCTAACATTTGCCAGTCCTCCTCTTCTGCTGAGGAAGACTGGCCCTGGACTAACATCCGTGCCCATCTTCCTCCACTTTATATGGGACACCCCCACAGCTTGGCCTGACGAGCGGTATGTCAGTGCGCACCCGGATCCGAACCCCGGCCGCCAGCAGCAGAACGCGCGCAATTAACTGCTATGCTATGGGGCCGGCCCCTGCTTTTTACTTTTTTACCTGGGTTTTAAAGCAACATGCATGGTGTGTGCCCTTAAGTTTTACAATGTTCTTCATCAAAATGGCCACTTCAGCTTTTATTTGTGGTCTCTGTCCCTCTAAGGATGAGCCCCTGTTCTGAGCTCGTCTGGAGAACAGAGCCCATACTGTCCTCCATTTTCCATCCTCCTCCCCTGTTTCTTCCCCAGGTCCCTCCTTTCTCCTTCAGGACACACACACACACACACACACACACACACACACACACACCACCACCACCACCACCACCACCAAAAACAATACCCCTTCCTCCCTCCAAAAAACATCATTAACTCACGCAAACAGATGGCAGAGATGATGGGAGA